TTTTCCCTTTCCTGCCTTCTTAATGACCTTTTACCATCTTCATATATGATGTCCTTAATGTCATAGCACAATTCATCTATTCTTTAATCATTAGTGTTTAATATGTCAGATTTATTTTTAAGATGATCTGTAAATTCAGGTGAGATACACTCAAAATCATACTTTGGCTCTCATGTACTTGTTTTAGTTTTCTTCAGCTTCAACTTGTACTTGCATAAAAACAAGGACTTAGTGACATTGTATATAGATGGTCCTAAATATCTTAATCAAATATAGCATATTTATTTAAAGTTTAAGATTTCTAAGACATTGTAATTTTAAGAGCTGGAAGGGCCCCTTCCTTTGTGTGGATTACTTCATAGCCTCTGAACCATAGTAATTGTAATTGTTTGTTTTTGTGTGTCTTCACCATTAACCCATGAGTCCTTTGAAGTTAGAGATGGTCTTGTTCAAATCCCTTCTTATCATCTAGATGGCACATGGTATGAAGTAGGAGGTTCAGTGATGCTTATTGAACAGAAATAAAATTTCAAAAATATATCTTCTCCTCCTTCATTTTATAGATGGGGAAACTGAGGCTTAGAGAGAGGAATTACTTATGTAAGTTCAGTTAGGAAAGTAACAGAGTCAGGAATAAATCCTAGTTTATTTTGATTGCTTAACATTTTTGTGGCTGTTTTCTCCTCCTGCCCAGCTTGGTCTGCTAGCTAATTAGCCAGAAGTTGGAACCAATTACAAGTTGTGGAAATGCAAACCTTCTTTGTTATGAAAACCAATGGCTATGCAAATGTAGCCCTTGTATTAAGTGCTGAATTTGCTTCTCAGGTCCCTCTACTACTCAAAAGGCAGGAGTCTACAATGCCTCCAGTATATGGTTTCATTGTCCTTTGAGAACACACATACACTCACATACACACACATACATAAGAATGTGCAGACAACACACACATACAAATGCAAGCATGTGGCACAAGCAGAGCTGAACATGATGTTTTGGTTGAGAGTCTTGCTTTCATTGTTCCTGTGTAACCTAGAAAGTTCAAGAATGCTGGGATTCCGATGGATTTCAGGTCAAGTCCCTGTTCTTCCATGCTTATTTGTAAATGGGTAACTTTGAGGATTCAGTGGAGGAGTAGTTTCATCACCAGGTTGCTCTATCACCTTGGGTCAACAGTTAGCCTTTTAGTTAGTCTTTCTAGGCCACTGTATCTGCATCTGTAAAATGGATTAGATTAGATGATTTGCAGACTCCTTTCAAGCTGGAACATTCTATGATTCTCCTCCCATGGGACATAATTGGACTCTGGGCAGAGTGTTGCAAGGACTGAAGACGTAAGGGAAGTGCGATCCTGTGCTGACACAATGCTGGCTTCTGCTGCCTTAAGAGGGCTCCCTGTTTGATGTCGGCCTTTTATCAGGGTGTGTTTGTGCTCTATCCAGGGTTTGTCTGGCCATTGCACCAGTCCCCACTCTGTTCCTCAGGGCTTGGGAAAAAGCCAACGGATGGGGAGATTCAGAGGCAGGATTTCTTCCCAAGAGCTGCCTGGCTGGTGAAACTCACAAAGTCCAGAGAGATTTCCTGTTTTGTTTTCCACAAGCTGAAGCTCCTATTGATTACAAAAAGCACACGCACGCGCGCGCACACACACATGCATGCATAAACAAAAACACATACACACGCAAAACAGAATGTTCTCTCTCCTTCCTCTCCTCTCCCATCTGGTTTCTGTTCTCAAGAGACTGCCTAGCTCTGGTGGTCATAGGCAAATGGACATTTGTTCCCAGCATAGGCTCTGGCATGTAATGGGCACCGTGCTCTTATCATGTACCTGACTCTGGGACAGATGCTTTACATGCCAATATTGCATGGGATGTACTTATACTTAATATAAAAATATTTACCTCAAATTCAATTTAAACTTTTCACCTGTATTTTATTTTATTTTGCTAAACATGACAACCCTAACTTGGAGTTAATCCCACTGTCCTGCATGGTTGAACAGAAAAGACCTTTATGTGGGATTCCAACCCACAGATCTGGGCTGGAATTCTGCTTTACCTGCTGCCTCAGGCATTTGACTGCTAACCAGAAGGTTGACAGTTGAAATCCACCAGCCACTCCATGGAAGGAAGACTGGGCGATCTACTTCTGTAAAGATTTACTGCCTCAGAAACCCAAAGGGGGTCGCTATGAGTCAGAATCAACTCGATGGCAGTGAGTTTGTTTTCTTTTTTGGTTTACCTGCTGTAAGGACTTGGGAAAACTACTTCACTACTCTGATTCCTGGTTTTCTCAGCTGTAAATGAGGATCATAATGTCTATATCTCAGGTCTGTTTTGAGGCTATATTTTTTTCATGCACTTAAACACCTTATAGTGTAGAAGTAGGTATTTCATGAACATTAGCCTTTATTATATCATTCTTTTTTTATTTCTTTGGGTCACTATGCTAAACTCAGGAAAAATTAGTGATGTTTTTGTTTCCTGGGACAGGATATGGGTAAGAACATAGGGCAGGAATAATTGGAACCTCCTTGTCAAAGGTCCTGGGAGAAATGTCATGGTGGCTTAAACAAAAGCATTATGGACACATATTTTCTCCCTGTAGGTCTTCCATTGTGATACTTCCTCAGAAACCCAAGGAAGGGTTGCTATGAGTCGGATCCGACTCGATGGCAGTGTGTTTGATTAGGTGTGTGCTCTGGGAAGCTAAAGAGGGAGCCCTCAGGCTGGCCCTACCCAACCATGCTGTACTTGGATATGAGCCATATTAATTGTGTCTGAACTGCAGTAATAGTTTGTTTGCATGTGTCTTGAATATGTTGAACAATGCTGAATAAAAAAAGTAAAACCCTAATCACAGGTAGTATGACATGTTCATTTAAAAGCACAGAGAAAGTAAAGAAGGAAGGAAGGAAGGAAGGAAGGAAAGAAAGAAGGCAGACACGTAGAGCCTGTTACCTGGCAAAGGAGAAAGAGGTCAACACTCTCTGAACCCCTAAATTTTAGAGATCTGACAAACGTTCTAAACCACCAATGCCTTGGAAGGTCAGTATGAATGGAGTGATTTAATTAACTACATTTAATTTCATTAATTTACCTTGATCAGTCTATTCAATCAAGCATCAAGCTTGCATTGAGGGTTTTTTCTACACCTGAGCCTGAGATGGGGGTGGGGGAATGTAGATTTAAGATCTCTCCTGAGTGGAACTGAAGAAATAGCTTCCAATTTCTCTCACCTGCCAAACATCAATGATCAGTTTTTGGTTTGTTTATCTGTTCTTTACTGTCCTTTCATTTATTGTGAACTATTGATTGAAAACTGATGCTGGGTCCCCTGAGAATTTTCCCATGAATAAGGCATGGCCCTTGTCTTTAGTAGGTTGTACTCTGTTGGATGAGATATACAAGTAAATGTGATGGGACGTATGGGTATTCCAGTGTCCAGCAGAGGAGCCTGATTCCAGGCACAGGAATTTCAGAGGCGGTTCCTCAGAGAAAGTTTCAGTTGAGACCAAAAAAGTGAGTTGAATTATAAAGGAGGGACTATTCCAGACAGAGATGACAAATTGTGTTTTAAGAGAAAGACAATGAAATGCATTGCAATTAAATAGAAAAGTGACCATTAGGTAGAGCAGGGGATGGCAAGCTATACCCTCTGGATGAATTTAGCCAACTGCTGGTTTTTGTAATTTTTTTTGCAGTATAATCACTTCCATTTATTTAAGTGTTGTCTGTGCTGTTTTCATGATACAAAGCTGGTGGTTGTGTTAGCTGCTGCGGGTAATCCCTGAGTCTATGATCCTGTGCACAACAGAATGAAATGCTATCCAAGCCTGTGCCTTCCCCACAATCAGTCATGGGGTAGTCAGTTGTGATCCATGGGTTTTCACTAGCTGGTTTTTGGAAGCACACCACCAGGCTTTTCTTCATAGTCTTAGTCCAGAAACTAGTGAAACCTGTTCAGGATCACAGCAGCATCCAAGCCTCTTTGGCCTGAAGTCAAGCCTTGGTCCCCCATATGGAAGGCAAGAATTCTACCCCTGAACCACCAATGCCCCACACTACAAAGATAGAGTGATAGATTGCCCAGTGGTAGAGCCAAGATTGTTACCATCTGGCCACTTACAGAAACAGTGGGCTGTGGCCTCTGATTTAGTTGTAATTGGGTGCCATCGACTAGATTGCAACTCATAGCAACCCCTTGTAACAGAGTAGAACTGCCCAGGGGGTTTTGTTGGTTGTAATCTTTACAGAATCGTATCACCATATCTTTCTCCTATAGAGCTGCTGGTAAGTTTAAGCTGTAGACCCTTTGCTTAGCAGCTGAGTGCTTAACTATTGAGCATGGTTGAAGTAAATAGGAATTCACTATTGGTAGAAATGTTAGTTGTTGACTGAGGGTGGATGGTAGAGCATAAAGGAAATTCACAGGAATGGTGGGAGGTAAGACTGGAAATGTGGTCCAGGGATAGAGGAGAGAGTTAAGACATTATTCTGAGGGCCGTGGGAGCCTCTGAAAACTTTTAAACAGGATGGTCAGATAGACTTGTTCGAGAAGCAGTATAGCAAGGTGTTTTAGAGGGCAGGCTCTGTCACTTATTGGCTATGAAGTTGGGGCAAGTTACTTACTTTTATGTGCTTCAGTTTTTCAACTTGTAAAATGAGAAATGATGGTAATAACAATATCTATTTGTGGGATTTTTGTGAAGGTAAAACAAGTTAATAAACATAGACTGCTTGGCCTAGTAGAGGGTCCCAGTGGATGCTGATAGATATTATTGCGTCTCTGTAATAATTCCGGCTGTTAGGTAGAGAATGGCTCAGGATGGGAGAACCTGGTTCTAGGATACCAGAGATTAAGTCATGAGACACCTTCTTGGTGTCCTGTGCTGAGGAGGCTACTTTGAAACCTTGGTCAACTACCAATGTGACCATCAGCACATTCACTCTCAGTCTATCACTGTCATCATTGTCTCTTCTGACCTCCTTTATTCCAGGCCTTCAGGAGTGCACTGATGAGCTCCTACTGGTGCTCAGGGAAAGGGGACGTGATTGATGACTGGTGTAGATGTGACCTCAGCGCCTTTGATGCCAATGGGCTCCCCAACTGCAGCCCCCTTCCACAGCCGGTGTACGTATGTATGGCCCCTCTTCCTTTGTCTCACCTTTATTTTGTAGATTCTTACCCTTGTCTTATCAGCCCAGTCTGTGACTTGCATCTGTTGCCAGGGTGCCTAACCAGATCCCTGAAGTTTCTGATGCCAACATCTTTCTTGGGGAAAGAAAGGAGCCATAGCAGAAAAGAAATGTGGCTTGGGGTAGAAATGGATATTGCAGTGTGCTGTTTTGAATCATCCCACTTATTCCATCATTATTTCCTTCCCTCATGCATTTAGCAAAGATTTACTGAGTGATGATTATACCTTTGCTCAGTTCTCATGCTAGGCACTGAAACTACAGAGGGAAAGAGAGTATAGAACCTCTCTGAAACAACTTTATTTATTCACTCAACAAATAATTTGGAAGATCTTCTATGTGTCAGGTAATGGGGATACATGAGTGAACAAGATAGTATAGCCTACACACTTAGGGAGCTGACAGTTTATGAAGGAGACAGACAGCAAAGGCAAAGCAAGAAAGTCGATATTGCTTAAGATTTTAAATAAGAGAAACATGAAAGAAGAACAAAGAGGTGCTAATGGAGAGAAAAATGGGGGGTATGCTTTGGTTGGAGGGGAAGAGAAATTTTCAGGGAAGCCTCTGTGATAAGACTTGAATTACTGTAGGAGTTAGTCAAGCAACAAGTGGTGAGAAAATCATGTTCTAGACAGAAGGAACAGCTTGGATAAAGGCCCTGACTCTGGAAATTCACCGTTTGAGAAAATAAAGGAAAGCCATTTTGGTTGGAGGAATGTGATTAAGGAGAAGAGTAGTGTGAAGAATATCAGAGATGTGGGCAGGAGTTAATATTGGGAAAATCAGAGCCACATAATACACCTCTCTGTGATGAGAAGAATTGTATTATAAGGTAGTCCTTCAAGAGGTAATATGACGCAGAGGAAGGCGAGGAAGAGATCTGGCCTGGGGATAAGCAACGTTAGCATATGCTTCTGTCCCCAGCTTGCTGTGTGACCTTGTACAAATCACTTCCCTTTCCTGGGCCTTACTTTCCCCATCTGTGGAATGAGGGGATTCTATTCATTATCTCTGAAGAGCATTCCTGTTCTAACCTTCAACCATTCTATTGCTTTTTATTTTATGAAAATATTCATCCTAGGATTCCTGCCCTCTTTGAGAACGTATGGACCTAAGAATATTAAACAGTTGATTGATATATTGTGAGATTGAAGGGAATGGCAGAGAGATCAAAAGCTACCTGTTTGAAGGCACTGTCAATTTAATTTAAAATAAAGCATCACTGAAAATGCAGTTTAAATAGATAGAGAACCAATCAACTTTTGGTGAGCACATACCGTGTACTTGAGTTAACTTACCGAATTCTGAATTCATCCATTTCTAGAAGGTAGTTTTTCTTAACCCCATTTTATGGATGAGGAAATAGAGACTCTAACAGGTGAAGTAACTTGCCAAAGGACATACAAGAGGCTATTGGTGGATGGAGTCAGGATGTGAACCCAATCTAAAACTTGTGATTTAATCATCAAACACCCAAATCCTTCGGACCCAGGTAATGTTTCCTGGCAAACGAGCAACCTTCCCTGTTACCCTTGTAGGCTGCGGCTGTCCCCAACAGTGGAACCTTCCAGCACCGTGGTCTCTTTGGAGTGGGTAGATGTTCAGCCAGCTATTGGGACCAAGGTCTCTGACTATATTCTGCAGCACAAGAAAGTGGACGAATACACAGATACTGACCTCTACACAGGTAGGTAGAAAGCCCATGGCTTCCCATTTTGTTAAGATAGTGAGACAGAGGAGGGAAATGGAATTTTCAATGCCTTTGGAGACTTGGTACCATCTGGCTTGGGAAGGCATTGCAAGGTTCCATTGTTTAGTGACTGTCACCTGGTACCCATGCCTGTGTGGTTTTTTGTGATTTTGAGTAAGTAATGTTGTAGTTTGAGAGAATTTATGATACTCTCATTGGTCCTTCCAAGTTACACATCAAAGGATTAATTGATTCCAAAGAGGATGTGATCTTTCTGTATTTAGGAAGGTCTATAGGTCACCTGTTGAAGGCCTTGGTATATAAAGATACTATCTCTGGGACTGAGATGAGGGACTTAAAGCAATTACCTTTTCCAGTGAGATGTACTGGGTTATTTTCATTAACTGGTGCTAGAGAAGTAAGAATTGGAAAGGATTCAGGGTCACAGGAGAAGATGAGAAAAGTGACTCCTAAGAGGGCTAATTTGATTGAAATTCAAAGTGGTCCCTCTGAATTCTTCTAAATCCGTGAACTCTTTCAAGAAGCTCAATATTCACCATGATCTGCACTGGGGCCTAATATTACCTGTTCTCTGTTACACTTCCATTCCTCATTGTATTTTCCCAACCAGAAAACATACATTGAGCATCTACTTACTGTGCCAGGCACTGAGCTAAGTGCTTTGTTCAGCATCTCATTGAATTGTCACAACAACCTAAACTGTACTTAATCCACAGTTTCAGTAATGGAGACTAACTCAGGATTATCCAGCTGATGATGTCTCCTCAAACTCCTAATTTTAATCTTATTTTTAGAAATAAATGAACCAAGACTGGATTATTGAAATAATTAAAGAAGTATAATTATTGGGTATATATCTGCGATTAGACTATATACTCAAGGAGCAGTGATGACTTGTCTATCTTTTTCATAGTCACATTCCCATCATTTACCACAAAGCCTGGCACTCAAATGTGTTTGTTGAATGAATGAATAATGAACAAATGAAATGACCTTTATTGCTTCCTTGTCTTTTTCTTTCTTTCTCTCTCCACTCAGTCTTTTCCCTCTTTCCTCTCTGTGCTAATTTTGCTTTGCTTCCTTTAAAACTGGGAAGAAAGTGGTCAGTGAAGGTGCAAATGTGACATAAACTGGTGAGAGAAGGGCCAAGATGATGGCCAGCAGGAGAAGTCAAGTTGGTTGCTGCTTGGTTCACTGAAATTGAGGTGGTTCATTGGCTGGAAAGAGCTGGACAGGCTGAAGTAGGCATCACTTTCAATGAGGGGCCAAAAAACAAAAACAAAACAAAACAAAAAGACTGCCATTGAGTTGATTCCAACTCATAGCCACCCCAAATGGGCTTCCAAGGCTATAAATCTTACAGAAGCATATTGCCTCATCCTTCCTCTGTGTAAGGGCTCATCGATTCAAATCACCAACCTTTTAGTCAGCAGCCAAATGCCTTAAGCACTACATGACCATTGCTCCTTTCAATGAGGTGCTAGTCATGGAAAAGTAATTGGGCATCTGGCGCTGCCTCATCCTTTAGAACTTTGTTAATTTTTTCCATCTTTTGACTCTATGTGTGTTTGTGTGTGTGTGTATATGTGTTGTGAAAGACTGTATGCTTGAGTATGTGCATGTTTGTGCATACGTTCATCTGTGTAGTAGTGTATGTATGTGTTTTGTGTTTGTGTGAACTTTTATTTCTGTGTGGATGAGATTTGACAGTATATGTGAATGTACAAGTGTATAATGTGTGTATATATGTGTGTGTACACCTTTGTCTTTGTAGAATGCTATTTTATATAGGCAAGGCTTTTTAGATCACTAAGGGGAAAGAAAATCTTCTAATGAGTTCCTGGGTGGTGCAAATGGTTAATTCACTTGACTGCTAATCAAAAGGCTTGTGGTTCAAGTCCACTCAGATACACCTCAGAAGAAAGTCCTGGAGATGTGCTTCCAAAAAATCCATCACTGAAAACCCTCTGGAGTACAGTTCTACTCTGACACACAGGAACACACCATGAGTCAAAATTGGTTTAACAGCAATTGGTTATACTTTAACAATAATTCTTCACATATCTATAGCATGCCATTTTTTCAGAATTAAAAAACTGTGTAAGGGAAGATTGGTTACCAACCCTGTTTTACAGATAGAAACTGAAACCCAGAGATGTATGTGACTTTCTCTAAATTCTACAACTAGTGCATGGTAGAGCCAGGCTTTGCAAGCAGGTCTGTCCCAGTACAGTGCTCATTCCTATGTGCTCATTCAGCTGCTAAGTTGAAACTCAACTGTTGCTTTTTTCACAAAAGCCTCTGGACCCTTTCAGCACAAAAGCTTCACTCTCATCTCTTAATTTGGAGTGCTCATTATTTCTACCACTTCTTTGGCATATTCTATTCATTGCCTGAAGTACTTCCTCAAAACCAAACCCATGGAGTTGGATTTGACTCATAGCGACTGTTCCTTGGGTTTCCAAGGTTGTATCACTATGGAAGTAGATAGCCCAACCTTCCTTCCGAGGAGTGGCTGG